ATATGAGCTACTCTATAATTTAACAAAGATGGCCCCGTTGAAAAGAAAATAAGAGGGAGGGGGGATAAAATATGAGCAGACTGTTCCCCCAAGAGGAGATGCAGATGACGAACAAGCCCCTAAAAGACCCTTGTTTTTAGATGTCCTGGCTCCATTCTGAGCAGAGCAACACGTAGGGGGATGCAAGTCACCAAGACAGGGGCAGTCATGTCAGTCCCCTGAGAATACTGTCTAGACAATGGGTGTTTCCCGAGGTTGTGGAGCCACTGTTCATGAAAGGATGCCGTCACTGCAGAGAATGATTTAGCGGTTCTTCAAAAAAAACTATGCTGCCCCTTCTGGTGACTTTGAGAAAGATGGGCGCCCCCAGCCTTTCCCTGTCTGGCTCCATAAGCAGCAGTGGACACTCCTGAGGCCAGTCCACTCTCAGCCACTGGGGTCTGAGTTACCTTAATAGTGTCATTGCCGGTAAAGCCCTTCATACTTCCGGTACCATATTTGATGGACATCGGATGGCCCACAAACTTGAAGGTGGTCGACGCCAGAGGGTTGAAGGCATTGTGGTTAGCTGAGGACAGGAGGGGGGCACCAGTTAGGGCTGCTGAGGACCGAGAAGGGAACGGGGTCGTGGGAGGGCGGAGCTGTGGCACTCACCGCAGGCGAGGCTGTCGCAGTAGATGGAAGGCACCCAGGTGTCCGTGGAACCTGTGTCAAAGATGACCTGGAAATTTTGAGGGGGCGTTCCGATGCTGATAGCGCCAGCGTAAGACATCTGTGTCAGGAGGGGGGACAGTTAGAGCACATTTTGTCACCCAGATTCCTAGAGGGCCCACCTGTTTGAGAAGGGCTCCTTCCTGACCTTGATTTCTAAATGTTCCACCTCACTCTCTGCTCCAGCTGATGCCTTCATTCACAAACCTCCTAGTCTCCCCTGCCCCTGTGCAAGTCCTCCTCCTCCTCCAGGCAGCCCTCCAAGGTCACCCCAGGCCTTTCAGGCTTCCTTTATATAAACTCTAAGCAGGTAATATAAATACAACAGTTGGCCCTTTTAGGTGACATCTATTTAGGGTTGAGCTACAAATCTTCAGAAGAGCACAGGTGTTGAGAGCCATCAGGTAAATTTGACAGACACCGTGCAGGACACAGTAGAACTGCCCTACAGTTTCTTTTCTTCCCTTTCTTTTCTTTTTTTAAAAAATTTTATTTCATTATTTTTTGTGTGTAGCGTCAAATCAGATCTGACTAATACAGGAGGAGATTGTTCCTCCTTCTTCAGCAGAGCATCTGGTGGATTTGAACCGTGTACCTCTGAGATTGCACTGCAACTTCTTGCCACTAGGCCACCAGAGCTCACCTCTTTTCTTTTCTTTTCTTTTCTTTTTTCTTTTCTTTTCTTTTCTTTTCTTTTTTTTCTTTTCTTTTCTTTTCTTTTCTCTTCTCTTCTCTTCTCTTCTCTTCTTTCGCTCCTCTCCTCTCCTCTCCTCTTCCCTTCTCCTCTCTTCCCTTCCCTTCTCTTTCTTTTCATTAATTTTAATGAAAGTTTACAGAGACTTAGGGTTTCCAGTCATTCACTGTTGCACTTTTCTCCCTGCCAATCCCCTCCCCCCTGCCCTACAGTTTCTTAGGATGGAATCTGTGGGAGCAGACTTTCAGGTCTTTCCTCCTGTGAAGCCAGTAATGGCTTCAAATTGTCACCAGGGGTTCCTGCCAGAGATACTCGGCCTCTGTAACCCACACAACCACCACCACAATGTTAATGTCTATTCTCTCCCCATGGGGCTAGTAAATGTTTATGGTTGTGATTTCTGGGCTCAAAAGACTGAATACCCCTGATTTAGGTTTTTAAAACTTGATTTACACTTGGGTCTGCTATTTCGGCCCGTGGTGAAACACTTGGCTGGTAATTAAAAGGTCAGCCGTTCTAAGCCACCCTCCACTCTGGAAGGCACACATGGCTGTCCGCTTCCATAACAATTGCAGCCTTGGTAAGGTCACGCTGAGTGGGAATGGAGACTGTGGGGTACTCTGATGAGCCCTGGCCATGTTGTCAATTTCTGGGTTCGTTAAGCTCAGAGAGAGCAAAGTTCCTCAAACCAAACTGTGTGCATGGCTTATAGGTACCTGTTGGCATGTCGTTTACACAGAAATAACTGTTTTCCTATCACCTGGTCAACAAATAACAGTGTGACAGCCTCTCTATTAGAGAAATGGCGGGGTGGGTGCAGTGTTTTGTCTGTCCTGGGGGTGTGGGTGCCTGGGAGGTGGCCTGGGGGTACTGTCTCAGCTCAAACACTAGGGTCCCCCCCACCATGTGCTCTCAGTGTGCAGCCTGGGCCCCAGGGGGCGCTGCAGGGCGCTGCCTCCCCCCCACTCACATCCAGGTAGTTTCTCAGAGGCTGAACAGCTACATCAGGATCCTGGGGCCCGTGGAAGCGGCTGTAGGTGACAGTGTAAGGATTGAGCTCCAGGAACTGTTGGAGCAAGTCTCTTTCCCGGAGGCTTTCTCGCAGTGTTGTAATCTTTGTCAAAGGGACCCTTCAACAAGAAAAGAGAGCCCACAGTCAGGTGCCCCATGTGATGGTGTGACCCCCATACTCTACGCTTGAGTTGCATCTGGATGAAGATTTTTCTCGCTGTCGGGAAGGGCCAACCCCTCAGTGCAACGGCAAGATCATAGCAGGGACCTAAGTGTGAACCCAAGGTCTCTGTGCGGGACTGGGCGAGTCACAGGATGCCTGTGGGCCTCAGTTTCCCCATCTACAGAGAGAGGAATAGATACCAACACCACTCAACCCCGCAGCTCTGTGGAGCCGACTCCAGCCCTCCCTCCACGGGGTTGACCAGGGTGTAAATCACACGACAAGAGATTTCTCATCTTTCTCTACAGAGCGGCTGCTGGATTTGAACCACCAGGCAGGTGTGGCCTGTGGTTTATCGGTGTAGTGCCCCGCGGAGGAAGCCACCAGAGCACCCCATCTGTAAACAGGTGGAGCACTGATCCCCCTTCCCAGGGAATGTCCTCGGGGGCTCTGGTGGCCCCGTCCTTGGGGAGTTGCCTTGCGACTCTCACTGGCAGTTGGAATCCGACAGGAGGAAGATGAGCAATCTCCTCCCGTGTGATTTACAGTCTCCGGAGACCGGCCAGAGGGGCCTCAAGGAGTCGGTTCCGACCGTGGCAATGAGTTTGCGCATAGAATGTTCTAACACTCTCCCCTTGACCTCGGGGAGGTCTCCATGGCCGGACCCTTGACTTTTTGCTCACTCTCACAGCTGGATGTAGAGGAGGCAGAGTGGATCCCCCATCTGTCCAGGGCTCACCCGGAAGAGGGAGGTAGGAGAGAGGAAGCCAGGAGATGAGAAAGACCTCGGGGGTGAGGGGTAGAGGTGAGGAATAAAGGAGGGAAATGATGAGGGGAGAGAAATGAGAGAGGAGAGGGAGAGGTGAGAAACGTGGGAAGCCCTGCACGCCCCAGATGAGAAAGACCCCAAACAGTTGGTGTCAAGTGGCTTGTGATGCATGAGGACCCCACGTGTGTAGAGTAAAAGTACTTTGTAGGGATTTTGCCAGAACTTTCTTCCAGGTCATCTCTAGGTTGGTCCCTGCCACTAACCTTTGAGTTAGTTGTGGAGCACTTTTCTGTTTGTACCACCCAGGCACACATAGAAAGAGAGAGAGGTGGAGACCCTGCGATGCAGAACAGGGAGAGGAGACGAGAGCGCTCCTGGAGAGGACCGCGGCACAGCTGTGCAGGGTGTGCACCGAACAATTCCAAGCACAGTGTTCATAAAGCCGGAGCCTGGGACCCTACAGTTCTACAACCCTGCAGACCTGTCCCACGATCTTAGACCCCTGAGCCCTCCTGTATGTGAGTCAAGATCTTCCACAGATTCCTGGAAGATGACAACATGTCCTTCTGCAACCCTGGAGGACAGAGAGTAAGAAGATGAGAGCGAATCCAGAAAGAGAGCTGCCCCATCATCGTGCATCCCCCAGACTCACAGTATCATGGCCTCCGAGAGAGCCACCAGCCCGAGGATCCAAAACCACCTCATGTCCGTGCTGGGTTCAGAGAACTCAGTGAACTCAGTGAAGAGCCTTCTCTGGGGACTGACTCTGTGGAGCCCTTTTTATACACAGACATGCTCACCTGTCCCAAACTCGCCCTGAGGGCTCCAGGTGGGACTTGATAAGAAAATCAGACCATAAAGAAACAAAAAGGGTGTGTCAGTAAATTCTTAGAATTCAATGCACATCTGCAAACTTCTCCAACAGAGTGAAAAGGGAAGCCACAGATTGGGGGAAAAAAAAATATTTGGTAATAACATGTCAGATAAGGGACTTACATCTAGAATTATAAAATACTTGAGCACCACAACAAGATAAAGGTAGATAATTGAAAAATTGAAAAATGTGCACAGGATATGAACAGACACTTCACTAAAGACATTCAGATGGTCAACAAATACATGAAGAAATGTTCAAAATCCCTAGCTCTAAGAGAGATGCAAATCAAAGCAACTATGAGATACGGTCTTACTCCAGTAAGAATTATAAAATTTAACAGAGCAGCAATCAACAAATACAGGCGAGGTTGCGGAGAAAATGGAACCCTTATTCACTGTAGGTGGGAGTGTAAAATGGTGCAACCACTGTGGAAGGTGGTATGGCGCTTTCTCAAAAAGTTGCAAAAAAAACCCCACCAAAAACCATTTGACCCAGCAATTCCTCTACTGGGAATAAACCCCAAAGAGATCATAACTGCCATGTTTATTGTGGCTTTGTTCACATTAGCAAAGAGTTGGAAACAACGTAAGTGCCCATCAACAAATGAATG